TTCCTCCAACACCTTCAAAAGCATCTATCTTCCTTTGCTCAGCCTTCCTTATGGTCCAGCTTTCACATCCATCGGTTACTATGGGAAATACCATTGCTTTAACTATATGGATCTTCGTTGCAAGTGTGATGTCTCTGCTCTTCTTATTTTATAGAGTTTGATCATTGTTCTCCTCCCAAGAAGTAAACATCTTCTCATTTCCTGGTTGCATTCTGCGTCTGCAGTAATCTTCGCACCTAGAAACACCTAGCAACACAAAGTCTGTCACTGCCTCCATGTTTTTTCCCTTTATTTGCCAGTTTTCAATCAGTCTGCTTACCCTAACAAGGTTTTTTGATGTTTAACTGCAACCCAGCTTTTGCATTTTCTTCTTTCACCTTGATTATAAGGCTCCTCGGCTCCTCCTTGCTTTCGGCCATCAAAGTGGTATCTGCGTATCTAAGGTTATTAATGTTTCATCCATCATTTGTAACTCAAGCCTTGGATTCGTCAAGCCCCGCATGTCACATAATGTGTTCTGCATACATGTAGAATAAGCAGGGTGAGAGTATACCGTCCTGCTGTTCTCCTTTCCCAGTCTTGATCCAGTCTGTTGTTCCATGGTCCATTCTTACTGTTGCTACTTGGTCATTATACAGATTCCTCTTTTTCTCTACATTCCTTTTAATTATTCTATCTAATTGAGCATCTGTTACCTCTCTTCTTTTCATAGCCTGAGCTCTACTGGACAGGCCTAACCATGCTATCCAGTTTCCTTGTTCTCATTTATCTTTTATCTTTTCCCAGTTTTTAATCCCATTTTCTTTCAGAGCCTTTATTAGGTTCCTGACTGTCTTATCCTTGTTTTCCATAGTTTCCAATGTAGTGTAGTGTAGTGTAGTGTATTTTGCCATTTCTTCCAAATGACCAGTAGCTGGCCATTTGGAGTGCCTATGGTGTTACTATAAGAAGGTCCTCCATTGTGCATGTGGCAGGGCTCAGACTGCATTGTAATAGGTGGTCTGTGGCTTTCTCTTCTCCACACTTACATATTGTGGACTCCACTTTGTGGCCTCATTTCTTAAGGTTGGCTCTGCGTCTCGTGGTGCCAGAGCATAGTCTGTTCAGTGCCTTCCAAGTCGCCCAGTCTTCTGTGTACCCAGAAAGTAGTCTCTCATTTGGTATCAGCCATGGATTGAGGTTCCGTGTTTTAGCCTGCAACTTTTGGACTCTCACTTGCTGAGGTGTTCCTGCAAAGTGTTCACTAAGCATGGAATAATCCGTATTGCAGTGGTTTTCAACCTGTGGGTCCCCAGATGTTTTGGCCTTCAACTTCCAGAAATCCTAACAGCTGGTAAACTGGCTGGGATTTCTGGGAGTTGTAGGCCAAAACACCTGGGAACCCATAGGTTGAGAACCACTGCCTTATTGGGTCTTCTATGATACACACCATGTCATCAGTACAAGCTGTGACTTTAAATTCTTGTCCTTTTATTTTCACCCCTTTAATATCACTGTCTTCCCTAATCCTAATATTTAATGCTTCCAACATCCATATGAACAATAGAGGTGACAACGGACAACCTCATCTTGTTCCTTTTTATATCACTATGTAATTTTACATTTGACCATTTATCCTTAATTTAACTTTTTTGTTTTGAATAGATAGCACCGACCACCCTTTTAAATTGTTGACCTGTCCCATAGCAGGTCGATACTTTTACTATACATTCCTAACAAACATTATCAAAAGCTTTCTCGGCATCTAAAATTAATAACACAATTTCTCTGTTGGGTCTTGTTTGGCCACTTTTAGTATATTTAAAACTGTTCTTACATTCTGGTTTAGCTGTCTTCCGGGAAGGAACCCTACCTGAGCTTCATGTAAATTTTTTGCTAGGATTTACTTTAATCTGCTTGCCAAAATTTCTGCAAATAATTTGTAATCACAATCACAATTTAGTAGCAAAATTGGCCTAATTTTTTTTTACGTGCTCCAAGTCTCTATCCTGTTTACGGATGAGAACTATGGTGGCCTTTGCCCACAATTCTTGGGTTTCTCCTTTATGAAGCACTTAGTTCATTACTGAAAGAAGAACTGGAGCCAGTTCTTCTTTATATATTTTATACTATGTAGCAGAAAACCCAACTGGGCCAGGGGCTTTATTTTAACATTATCAGTTGCTCTACCTAACTCTTCCAATGTAATTTGTCTAATTTTGCTTTCATTTCCTCTGAAAGTTTAGTGAGGTGCAATTCCTCCAAATATTGATCTATTTTCTTGGGGTTTGTCTGAGTATCTTTAAATAAGTTTCTGTAATACTCCTCAAATATCTTATAGATGTGCTGCAGTCCTGTAATTGTTTCTCCTTTATTCTTTACTAGCTTGGGGACCCGGCGTTGCCCGGGTTATTAGAGAAAGTGGGTAATGGCGGTTCTGTATGGCAAGTTTGGTCTTTATTGGTGTTTGGATAATGGCAGCATTGGTGTCAGTAAGTGAGTGAAGGTACTGGAAGTCCCATCATCCAAAGTCCATCCCCTTTCAAACTGCAGCAGGATGTAGAGTGGATCATGGGGGCTCTGTGTGCCAAGTGTGGTCTTGATTGGTCATTAGAAGAGGGTTGCAGCAATCTTTGGAAGGGAGTGGAGGTACTTGAAGTCCCATCATCCATGGTCTGTCCTCCTCCAAACTGCACCAGGATGTAGAGTGGGTCATTGGAGCTCCATGTGGCAAGTTTAGTCTTGATTAGTCATTGGCGAGGGTCTCAGTGGTCTCAGGAAGTGAGCAAAGGTACTGCAAGTCCCATCATCCATCATCCAAAGTTTTCCAAACAACACCAGGACGTAAAGTGGGTCCATGAGAGGTCTATGTGCCAAGTTTGGTGTTGATCCGTCATTGGATGAGGTTGGAGGTCTCAGAATGTGAGTGAAGGTACTGGAAGTTCCATCATCCATGGTCCAACCCTCCAAAACTGCAGCAGGATGTAGAGTGGGTCATGGGGGCTCTGTGTGCCAACTTTGGTCTTGATTGGTCATTAGATGAGTTTTGCAGCAGTCTTGGGTAGTGGAGGTACTTGAAGTCCCATCATCCATGGTCTGTCGTCCTCCAAACTGCTCCAGGATGTAGAGTGGGTGATTGAAGCTCCATGTGCCAAGTTTAGTCTTGATGAGTCATTGGCGAGGGTCTCAGTGGTCTCAGGAAGTGAGTGAAGTGACTGCAAGTCCCATCATCCATTGTCAAATTCTTCCAAACCGCACCAGGATGTAGAGTGGGTTATGCGGGCTCTCTGTGTAAATTGTGGTCCTGATCCATCATCGTTGGCAGTTGTAATGGTCTTAGGAAGGGAGTCCAGGTATTGCAAGTCCCATCGTCCATGGTGCATCCTCCTTCAAACTGCACCTGGATGTAGAGTGCGTCATGGAGACTCAGTGTGCCAAGTTTGGTATTTTTGGTAATTGGATGAGGGTTGCAGTGGTCTGAAGAATGAGCAATGGTACTGCAAGTCCCATAATCCACGGTCCATCCCCGGCCAAACCACACCAGGACGTAAAGTGGTTCATGAGAGGTCTCTGTGCGAAGTTTGGTCCTGATCAGTCATTGGATAAGGTTAACAGCGGTCTCAGAATGTGAGTGGTGGTACTGCAAGTCCCATCATCCATGGTTCATAGTCCTCCAAACTGCAGTAGGATGTAGAGTGGGTGATGGGGGCTCTGTGTGCCTATTTCGATCTGTATTGGGAGTGTTCTGACCCAGGCCCCGGCCTTTCCTTTCCTCTCTTTCTCATCTCGGAATGTTGGATTTGAGGCTGGCCAATCAGAGACCATATGCAAATTTCCTTCTGTCATGCCCCGTTTCTGCCATGAACCCTCTTCTCCACCAGGGGCTCCTATTGAAGCTGCCCAATCAGAGACCATATGCAAATAGCACCACAGCGGCAGCCAATCAGAACGCTGCCACATACTCCTTCCTCTGTCCGATACAAACATTCTCTTTTATTATATATATAGATTTTTACAATTACTTGCTGCTTCTTACACTCATTCAGTTGCCACACTAACAGTTTCCCTGGTTCATTTGCATTTTCAAAAAAATGTGTCTGTTATAGATTATTTTCCTTTCCAGTTCGTTCAAAAAGATCAATTCATATTGTTGTTTTAAATTGGACAACTCCTGTTGTATTTTCATTTTATTATCTAATTTGTTATTCTCTCATTCTTTTTCTTTGTCTCTAATATTTGTTAGGGTCTCACTCTATATTTTGTTTTTTCTTTTGAACCATATAGAATATATTACAGTTTTTCATCAGTTCTATCTTGAGTCTTAAGTACATTAAAATAAAGAAGACTTACATTGCAATCCTACCTATTTAGATCAAGTCCCTCTGAATTCACTAGGCCTTATTTCTAGGCACACAGATTGCAGCCCAATCAGCTAAGATGAAGGTGTGCATAGAAAATAGTCTTACTTTTTCTTTCCAAGATGCATGGCAATCTTAAAATGTTTAAGTCAGGTCACATGAATTCCTTTTACCATATTTTTTGCAATTCCCACATAAGGCAAATGGCTATTGTGAAAGTGGCCCCATTCCTGCTTTCGTCTTGCAATAGACATTTATATGATCATAAGGCATTTGGGGAGGATGAGGGACATGCTGCTGGGGAGGTTGCGGGTTGTGGGATTTAATTGTATTTATTGTGTTTTAATTTTATTTTAACTTTATATCCATGCATTTATATTTAATTGTTGTTTTGTTTTTTAACTATTTGTTTTGTTTTAAATTAGTAGATTTTGTGGTTTTGTGCAGTTGTTAGCCAAGCGGAGCGCAGAGCACCTCTTACTAGCCCTGGCACATGTTGATGTATGTATCAGATGATAGCTGATCCCAGTGTGACATTTAAGAAATCACGAACATGCAGTTGGCACCAGTGATGTTTCTGCAAAAGAATAGCAACCAAGTTTATACTTGCTATTGATACGCTTTACTTTTCTTGGTGTATGTGGATGTACATGTGTCAAAAAGGATCAAGAGACCAGCTATACCATCATCAAATCCAAGGAGACAAAAATTACTGCAGATGGCTTAAAACCTGCTTCAGCGTATGTCTTCCAGATCCGAGCACGCACCGCAGCAGGGTATGGTGGCTTCAGCCGGAGATTTGAGTTTGAAACCAGCCCAGTGTGTAAGTCATTTTAATTACTGTCAGTCCATGTCTCTGTAATGGTTATGAGAAAAAGATCAGCAAATCAATATCTTTGCAGAGGATTGCCAGCTTCATTTCATCCTCCTTGCTACTTCTCGCCCTAGCCCTTCCTGGCCTGGTGTGTTCAGGCACATCAAGTTATTCGTTCAGTTAGTTAGGTTAACCCACAATACCCTAACTCTTTTCGTATTCTGCTCTGCAAACTTGGAATATCTCTTAAATTTGCTAAAGAACTTGTTTACTCATAGGCATCAATGTACTGAACAGTTTTGATTTCCCAATCCATTATTTTATTGTTCAGAACCAATTGTCAGTGGACAGCTAGTTTGACAAGTAAAAAAAAAAGCATATACCTCAGTTAACAAAGTAGATGTGTTCTTTACTTCTTAACAGAAAAGGAAAAACATGGAATGAGTAGGGATTGGTTCCCTACAGCACAAAAAAGAAGAGCGGCTCTGCATGTTGCAACAAATTGTGCATCCTAAATGGAGAATGGACATATATGGAATAAATCAACCAAAGCGAGAATTCTTGTATAAGTATAGAAAAGAACACATTTTGAATCCTCAAGACACCACTTAAAAGCTTCTTATAAAATGCACCCAGCAAATATTTTTATTCTTCTATTAGCCTCCACTTTTAATCATTTCCATGTTAGTGGCCTAATGTATTCAACTTACCATCTACAATAAAGGTAAAGGTAAAGGTTGTCCCCTGACATTAAGTCCAGTCATTTCTGACTCTGTGGTGTGGTACTCATCTCCATTTCTAAGCCGAAGAGCCGGTGTTGTCCATAGACATCTCCAAGATCATGTGGCCGGCATGACTGCATGGAGTGCCATTACCTTCCCGCCGGAGCGATACCTATTGATCTACTCACATTTGCATGTTTTCGAGCTGCTAGGTTGGCAGAAGCTAGGGCTGACAGCAGAAGCTCACACTGCTCCCCGGAATCGAATCTGCGACCTTTTGGTCAACAAGCTCAGCAGCTCAGCGCTTTAACCCACTGCACCACCGGGGTCTCCCTATCTACAATATACTCATGTATATAAGTTGAGGGCAGGTATCCTGTTTGGGGACCAAAGCTATGGTTTTTCATGTGACCTGTGGATAATCTGAGGGTTATTCTGTAGAGAATAAAGAATAGCAGCATTACCTCGAGATTCCAGCCACCCCTGGCCACCATCACCATTTTCTTATACACGCATTCAAAAAGGCCAGAAGCAAAGCCACAGTGGAGACAATAAAGGAGGACAAGTACTTCTTCCCTATGGATAAGTAGACCCAGGTTTTGGGGGATGATTTTTGACTAAACGTTGCAGCTTTATACATGAGTATATACAATCTGCTTCTTTGACACAATGAGGGAGCTGTTAAGGGCTATCCCCCTCCCTTTTATTTTTATTTTATTTTGATGAATGTTCCATAAGGGATTCTGGAAATAGCTGCTGTTTCTTCATTTGATGTAAGCAGGCACATACAACCTCAGTGGGATCGGACAGAGCGGAATCCTATTATTACCTAACTCAAGTTTTTATTGCACTCTTTACTTTGGAGACTTCTTCAAGCTGACACTAAAGGTCCTTGTTTCTCCAGCCTTCCTTCTCCCAGTGGTAATGCTCATAAAAAACTCTAGTTACACAAAGGGCAAGGAAGAAAGGAGGGCTGGGTGGATGTGAAAAGACTTTGTAAAAAGGAGCTTCCTTGTCAAATACCTGTACTACCAAATGCAAGATTGTATATAATCTATATTTAAATAGTTGTGAACACAAGGAACTTGAGGTATTCCAGAAATTACATGGCAGAAAATCCAGGCGTATACTTCTTAGACTTCAAGCACTTCTACAACACTGTTTGCTTCTAAAGGATTTTCATGTTGACTGCTCTGTTAATTGACATCTTACATGAGAACTATTATCTTGGAGGCATTTTTACCTTTTTCCTTCCAGAATATTCTCTCATTCCAAAAGTCTGACAATATATTTTAGTTTAAATGAGAATAATGTTAGTGTGAACTAAAATGGACCCATTATAGTCAATGGAATGTATGTAGTTGATGTTAGGGATGTAAATCTTCATGAATTTAATTCTTACAGGGAAAAAGCAAATTATTTCATAATGTGTTCTCTCACTGTGAATAGTCATGGAATATTGTGCAGTTTGAAAAGACTGGTCCCCATTCAATAATTCATTTGTGCAAAATGGCATTCTCTATGCAAAAAAAAAGTTTTGCTGCAAAAGAAGAAGAAGAAGAGGAGGAGGAAGAGGAAGAGGAAGAGGAAGAAGAAGAAGAAGAAGAAGAAGAAGAAGAAGAAGAAGAAGAAGAAGAAAGAAATGCATCCCAATATTATGGAAACTCTTTTTCTCACATAAATGTTATTTTCTATGCATCAATTCATTTTTATGCAAGAAATTTATTGTGTGTGTCTGTGTAAAACTTTTACAGCTGAAGATACTATTATTTGTGAAGGAAACCTGTTTTCTTTCCAGAAATACAATATTCCACATACAGTTTTGATAGATAATAAGGCCTAGATAACAAAGATTCACATTCATTCTTGTTGTGAGTTTTCCCTAAATTCAGGAATCACCATTCCTAGAGACAACTAAAATCTATCATTTCAGTGGTTTAACTATAGTTGTAATATATATTGGATTATCTCTTTCAGTTTTCCTAAAGAATTCAGGGAATTATTTAAATTTGAAATATTTAGAACTTGGAAAGGTTCTGAGCTTTCCACCGTCCCATGGCATTTTTTTTCTAGAGTAGCAAGTAAAGTTAGCAAAAATGCGCCTAGAATTTCTTTATCAGATCTCTTTCTGTTCAGAAACTTTAGAGAGAAATAGTCATCTTTCAGACTGCAGTTAATGGCTTTTAAATGTTTTGTTCAACTTGGAGAAAGGGAATTTAAATTAATCTTCTTTTCTCCAGTTAGATTAAGCTGGAAAGCTAGCTTATTACTCTTGACATATCTATTAACTGTTACTGATGGGGTGTGAAATATGGGGACAAGTCTCACCAAATACTAATGGGCTGATGTGATATAGGAAAATGTTTCTGAATTTTGGGGAGAATCACCCAGCCCCATCCTCTATACCAGAGCTTTGGAAAACTATAATAAATTGATTCTGCTTTGTAGCTTTTCCCACAAATATGTTATCTTGTCTGTTTTCAGCTGCTACTGTACTAGCTGGAGGAAGAGGTTGTGTCTTTATAGATCTAGACCATTGTATTAAAGTAACCTGTTCTCAGATGTGCTTTATTCTGATAATGCACGAGAGCATTACAATTCAGTATAGAAATATGGACTACAGATTCACCTTGCAAGTCTATCATGTTAAATCAGATGTGAATTGTGTTATACCTTTTATTAAATAGAAAAGAAAATCTGATGAAACTAAATACACTATACCATCATAGGTGTCTAGGGGCGCATCCAGACAGCCCCTTTATTGCAGTAACTCCCGCAATAAAGAAGGGGCTGTCCAGATGACATCCTGGAAAATCCCAAATTAATTTGCTACAAACCAGGAAAACCCTGGTTTGTAGCAAATTAATTAGATAGTGGGTTTATTCCGTGCCTTCTTGGAAGGCATGGGATAAACCCACCATTTCCTGTTCTGGACTGCAGAACAGACACATTTCCCACAGTTTTCCGGACTGAATTAGTCCAGAAAACTGTGGGAATACCCTGCCCCCCCCCCCACAGCCCCCAAACCCTTTGAAAAAATAAGAAAAACTTGCCTGGCCTCCGGTAGACTGTAACCAGAGCTCCCCCCTTCCCCCTTCTCTGCTCTCCTGGTACATCATTTCTATGCCCCTGGTGGCACAGTGTGTTAAAGCCCCATGCTGACAGGACTGAAGACCGACAGGTCGCAGGTTCGAATCCGGGGAGAAGCGGATGAGCTCCCTCTATCAGCTCCAGCTCCTCATGCGGGGACATGAGAGAAGCCTCCCACAAGGTTGATAAAATATCAAAAAATCATCCAGGCGTCCCCTGGGCAACGTCCTTACAGACGGCCAATTCTCTCACACCAGAAGCGGTCGCTCCTGACACGACAAAAAAAATAAAAAATCTATGCACCAGGAGAGCTCTGGCTACAATCTACTGGAGGCTGGGTAAGTTTTCTTTACTTTTAAAGGGGGTTTGGGGGCTCTGGGGAAGGGGGGGAGGGCCTCCAGATGTTCTTGCGGGCCAGTTCCATGAGAGCATCTGGACACCCACCTCAGAAAGGTGCTTTCTGGGGTGGGTGTAGACAGCCCCCCAGGAACATCCACATTTTTAAAATGCAGATGCTCTTGGGATAAAAGGATATCTGGAACCACCCTGAGACTTACATGTAAAAGCAGTTGTCAGAGCAGGCTTTGAATGGAGAATGGAAATTGATCCCAATCTGTTTATAACCATAGAAAGGTTACTTTTCTTCTTGTAAGCCTTTGTGCAACATTCAAAACACAGTCACCATGACCATAACACTCATGGTTCTTTTCCCTAATGTTTTTTTACAGTTTTGCCTTATGAAGATGCATTCAAAACCTAATGTACCTCTTGATTGGCTCACAGGATGAATTTTGTTGTTTTGTCTGTTAAATTGGGCTTATTTTTTCAGTAGTCAAAGTAGTTTAAATATAAGTAAGATCAACAGAATTTTGGAAGTAAACATGTAAGATAGATAGATCTAGATAGACAGGCAGGCAGGCAGACGGATACCCAAATGGTGACTTATATCATATGGAACACTCGTTTTGAAACTGAGGGAGATTTTACAAGAAACATTTCATAATATAGCATTGGGAAGATTCAGATTTTGGCATTTCTACTTAAAAGATCTCAATAAAGTAATTTTAGTTCCCAAAGAAAGCAATATATGTTTGTCTAGTACTGGATGAGGTGGAAAAGCAATTTGGCTTACTCTTTTAAGGTACTGTCATATATTGATACATTTAGATATTTTTACTGGGTTGTTGTAGGGTTTTT